CAGTAGCAGTAGCAGTAGCAGTAGCAGTAGCAGTAGCAGTAGCAGTAGCAGTAGCAGTAGTAGCCGTCGTCGTCGTCGTCGTCGTAGTAGTAGTAGTAGTAGTAGCAGCAGCAGGAGTAGTAATAGTAGCAGTAGTAGTAGTAGTAGTAGTAGTAGTAGTGGTAGTAGTGGTAGTAGCAGTAGCAGTAGCAGTAGGAGTAGCAGTAGCAGTAGCAGTAGGAGTAGTAGCAATAAAAATAGTAGCAGGAGGAGTGGCAGCCTAAGAGGGGTTGGGGGTTTAGGCATCAAGGCCTTTGGGGCTTCAAACCTAAGCCCTCAAACGCTTAGGGTTTACGGCTTTCACGTGATTTCGGCTTTGAGTTGCAGGGCCTGCCGTTTTAGGTTGAAGTTGGGTCTATATGCAGATGGACATGTTGATGGATAAACCCAAGGCCCAAAACCCTAAACCTGTGCAAAGAATGCAATTATGTTCGAATGCAGCCCCTCAACAACCTGAATTCAATCGTGGGAAGGTGGACTTCAAGGCGTGTCTGTCTGGTTCTAGAAATAAATTGTAAGAAGAATATAATACTCGTAATAATGAATAGTAGTAACAATAGTCGTCCTATTAATAACACTAGTAAAACAAGTGCTAAACATGTAGAGATAACATTACTATTCGATTCAGTAATAATGATTTCAATTACTACTACTAATAATAATACTAACTTGAAGTATAACGTTCAGGGTGGAGGGATTGGGTTCTGCACTTTTTTTGGGTCTGCGGCATTAACCTCCAGCGACAGTCTTCAGAGAGCCGGGGAGCCCTTGTTCGCCTTCTCCTGCTGCCTGCGCCAAAACACAGCCTGGTTCCAGGCGTTTTCCAGCTCCTCCTTTGAGAAGTTCTTCGGCCGCGCTCTGAAGTGCTTCAGTTGAACCCCGACGGTGAACCGAGCATGCCAGCACTGCTCATTGAAGTCCCACTTCACTCCTGTGTGGGTCAGCATGTTCCAGAACGAATGTTTTGGAGAAAGCTAAAAGTTTCGGTATAATTATGACCTGATCTGAAGCACAAGGCAAAAACATCACCGACGAGTTGCAGCCCCGAAATTCACACATATTAAGTATGACTGGGCCGAGGCGAGGACTGCTACCCAACATCATCGAAATTCAATGCATGGACCCAGAGCTTAAGGTTTGCAGGCTCCAGAAATCGAACCTTAAACCCTAGTCTACGAGGTTTGGACATAACTGGTCCTTTCTGTGGCGATAGCGGCTCAAACCGGCGTAGCTCTGAAAGCTTCTTCACAGGTACCACCTGGGAGAAACGTCAATTCTGTGTGGTGTCCTGTGTAATTAGTATACCATCTAAATAGGTATACTGCATAGTACTGTACTAACTACTCGATTGTGTATTACTTGTAGTATACTACATAATAAACAACATAACGTGCCACAACTTGTGCAACTGTGTCCTACCTGCAAATTCTGCCGTACCCTGTATCCCACCCACCTCACTCTCAGTCTGCAATCCAAACTTCTTCGCGATCTCTCGGGCCTCGGACTCTGCTTCCTCCATGGTCGCAAATGCCTTGTAGAAAAGCTTCTTTGTGCTTGGATTTGTCAGTCTTACCTGCCATGCTTTTCCTTTCTTGTGGACGCCCCTCACCGTGGAAGCTTTGACTGTGATGGGCTTGGGGGGCTGCAGCTTGCTTTGACGCACCAGCTCTTTGCGGAATGACTTGGCCTCGTCAAGGGCCTTCTTCACGGCATCCTCCTCGCAAAGGCCCTGCTTCAGAAACTTGCAAATCGAAAACAGATTCCTGTTCCTTTTCATCCCGTCATGCCAGGACACCTGCCAGCCCTGCGTAAGTCTCTGCCAGCTAATGTTTTGAACGCCGCTCTGGCGCTCGAGTCGTCTCATTGCGGTGTCTGCTGTGGTTCTGGCAGCATGTGAAAGGATCTTGGTCTCTTGTGTTCCTCCCTGTGCGTGCTGCAGCATCTCGCCCACTGCACTTTTGATGGACAGCCAAACAATCCCAGCTGCAGCGACTTGAATCTCACCCACATCGCGTTCAAACTTGTCGATTTTAGCCTGGACATACTGGAGCACGTCTTCAATTTGGTGACAGTCGAAGCGTCTCCTCCGCCAGGAGCGCAAAGCATGTAGCAGCAGCAGCCGCGCTCGGCGCTGTACATCGACCTGCTGCCTTGAGTGCGGACAGCGAGATTCCAAAGCTAACAGTGACCCATCTGATCTCTCCCACTCAGCTTCCTCCTTCCCTGTTGCTTGTCTGCGAGGTGCGGAAAGGGCCGCGGTAGCCACATGGACTACTTCAACAAGCTCTGCGGCACTGGCGCTCCTGTGTTTGGCTGCCTCCTCAGCCTGCTTCAGGCGGTCCGTCCTCTGAGCACTATCCAAGAAGCCCCACTCGTTGATTTTCCGGAAGAGCTGCAGATGCTGTGACGATTTGCCTGCAGATCCTGAGTCGCCCTCTTTTACAAATAGTTCAACTTCCTCCGGCAGCACGCCTTCGAAAGCCAAGCCACCATCAGGCAACACTGGATCAGCTGCTGCTGCCCCAGCCTGCCCGTTAGGTCTGACTGCCGCTTCGTTTGCCGGCTGCCTGCAGCAGCGGAACTTCTGAAAACTCCGCCGCAACTGCTGTTCTGTCTCTCGCCAGGCCTCGCTAGCCTCACCAACTGGAACGCGTCGAAGCACGGCTTGCACGTCTGGCAGCACCTCCCTCAACCGCGCAGGTAGCAATCCGGCTCCCAACTTGTCGATGAATTTCTGGAGGAGCTGGACCTCATCGATGTCCGGAATCCGGCCTTGTGGGCCATATGCGATCCACGCGGCCACGTGGGCGGCATGCTTTCGCATGGCTGCTTTGTCAAACCGCTCTGCTTCGTGGGAGTACTTGCTGATCCTTGGCTGCACGTGGGGTTTCAGAGCATGAAGTCCACTTTTGCATATGGTAGCTACGATTACTTGCGCTCTAATTACAGTCCAAATATACCACAGCTGCAGTCACTGACTGCAGTCTACCCTGATGAGGCTTTTTCTGCACCACTGTCAGAAAGGGTGGCTGACAAGCCAGGTCTCACCAGCGACTGGCGACGACAACGATGATACTTGCCAGCATGCAGTCGCAGCCGTCGGCTGTGCCCCATGGCGCTTGGACACGCTATCCCTGGCGACTGTGCCACTTAAGCCCACGTTTAAGCGTACACATGGTTGTTACGGGTGCTTAAAAGTCTTCATTTCGCAGTACTACTGTTGATGATACACATCCTGCATTACCTTAAGGACCCTAAACTATGGGAATCAATTATGGCAGATTCGTTATTATGGGTAATGCAGCATCTATATCATCAACAGTTTTCCAGCTTTGGGTACTATATTGTCAATGACCGGTATCATGAGATGGAATGGCGGGTGGGGAAATGCCTTTTATACCAAATCGCCTTGCAGCAGGGCCAGCTGCGCCTAGCACAAGCCAACATCCTCGCATCTGACTGCAGTCTGTCGGAAGCGATTTCTTGACTTTTCCAGGAATCTAGGGCTCCTAAACCCTAGACCACGCCTAAACCCCTAGACTCAAGCATCCCTAAACTCAAGCATCCCTAAACCCAAGGATCCCTAAACCCAAGGATCCCTAAACCCAAGGATCCCTAAACCCAAGGATCCCTAAACCCAAGGATCCCTAAACCCAAGGATCCCTGAACCCCGAAACCCCAAGGGGCATCATCAACATGCATGGTCGCCCCTCTGGGCCGAGGCTGCCTCGCTATCTGGGAAGTCGCCGGAAGTATCCAGGTCTTCCATGCCCGAGTCAATCTGCAAGGGTTTTTTGTAGGGGTTTAGGCTTAGGGTTTATTAGGGCTTATAGGGTTTAGGGTTTAGGCTTAGGGTTTATTAGGGTTAACGTAGGGCTTATAGTATAAGGTTTAGTACGCAGGGCTTATAGGGTTTAGGGCTTGGGGGTTAAGATTTAAGGTTCAAGGACTCGGGTTTAGGGTTTAAAGTTTCAAGGTTGCCCTGAAGCCTTGTTTGAAGGTTCACTGGCAGCTGTTATATTTGTAGGTCTATGAAGCCGAGCAACTGTGTATGAAAGCTTGCAAACATGTACAGCTGAGGCTCGCGACATATAGACCGCTGCAGCCTTGCATATCACTACCCTCGAACCTCAAAGTAGCCCCCTGTCCTCAAGCCAACCGGTAGTCAAAATGTACGTGGCTTCATGATTCCTCGGAGACTCATGCTGCCCTCAACAGTCGGCTTTGCCTGCTCTATTGACTGGAACACCCCAGAGCGGAAGCTACATTGCCAGGGCTATAGTATCTAAATCTATCTAGGTTTAGGATTCAGGTTCCCAGTTAACCTTTTGAGCTATAGTAGGATTATACAAGCCCAAAAAAAATTAAGGTTACCTACTCAGACCCTAAGGGGTTTTTAGAAATGGAGAGCGAAAGCAATTCTCACCTCCTGCAGCAGCAACTCAGGCAAGCTCCCAGCCCTTGCCGGCTACTGAAGGCCTCCGTCTCGAAGGGGCCGCTGGGGTCACCTAGCTCTGCGAAAAAGGTGTGCTATGACGCAAGACGAGCACACCAGTGATCGGATGCCACCCGAACTCGGTTTCATGCATGGGGCAAGGAGTTGCAATCCGACTGTTGCCTTTCAACCCAGCCCAACGGGCAAAAGGAACCTCGAGGGATTTCGGCATTTCAGAGGCCATTCACGTCAATTGCAAACTCGTCTTGAATCAAAGCCGAGTGGTCAGGACGGGCTGCTCAGAAGGGGCCTTCGCCGAAACACGCAGGGCAAGAAGGGTTCTAGTTCGGGACCTCAGGGCCCTGTACTATACAATAGAAGCCTTTGGAGATTCGGAGTTGCGTAAGGTTGAGGGTTTAGGGCCCGAAGCAGTAACCCCAAACCCCTAAACCCCACAGAATTCTACATCTGCCTGACGGCGGCGAGATTGTGAGCCAGGCGGCTGCTGAGGTTGGAGATGGGACTGCCCTCCAGCGGCTCCTGGTCACTTCGCAAAAAAAGGGCAAAAAAAGTCGAGGCGAGAGAACCCTTATAGAACCCGTGGAGAAGGGGCTAAACCTTAAACCGTAAGCCCTAAACCCTGAACCCTAAACCCATAAAGCCCAGGCCTACCTAAACCCCAAAGCCTCTGACGTGCAGTTGTTGGAGTCCTAGCCCGGCAGACCGACATGAAGGAATCAACCTTGGAAAGCCCTGAACTCTCAAATCTTAAGCCCTCATGTTGAGGTTTTGAGGGTGTAGGGCTTAATTACTAAACTCTTTCAAGGACCCATTATATATATATAGAGATATAGATATATACATACATACATACATACATACATACATACATATCTCTGTGTGTGTATATGTATGTATGTACACACACACACTCCGCAAGTGGCCCTAAATATGCACTTCTTTCAAGGTTGCGAATCCCCATATTATGACCGAAGAAAACCTCAGCGGCTGCAGCCTGCCGGGCTCTACGAGGGCTCTAGAAGGGATTGCAGAGAAGAAGGGATTGCAGGTTGGGTTCTATAAGGGTCCTAGAAAGCATGGCAGGGTTCTTACAAGAGTTCCGAAAGGGGCTCGAGAAGGCACTGTAGGGTTTTATACGAGTTCTAAACGTGCTCTAGAAGGGACTGTAGGGTTCTATAAGGGTTGAAAAGTTGCTTTAGAAGAGACTGTAGGGTTTCATGCGCATTCTATAAGGGCTCCAGAAGGGATTATATGATCTTACTGCTTGGCGTTCCATGCTTTTGCAGGCAGCAGGCTCTGGACCCCTAGATTTCTGAATCAGCGTGCTTTAAGGTTTGGGATTTGGGCTTTAGGGTTTAGGAAGCCCCAGTATTTTGGTCCTGGAAGCCCTCTTCGCCATTGTCTCTCGCCTTGGTATGCCAAAACTTTCAGGAAATGCGGACCCTCGATAAAACCCTAATAGCCCTGAACCGTTAAACCGTCTTTCTAATTACTTCTGCGCGTATGTGTATATATATATATATGTGCATGTGTATCTGTGTATATATATATATAGAGAGAGAGAGAGAGTAAGAGTTATAATGAGGAACCCCCCAAAATCGTATAGGTAATTATTAAGGCCCCTATATTAACTGCCAAGCTCTCCCTCGAACTCCCGTCTTTGGGTTCAGGGATTAGGAGCTTAGGGCGTTTAGGGCTTAGGATTTTTGGAGTCGGGGGTGTAGGGCTTAGGGTTATAGACTACTAGACCGCTTAACCCCCATATAAGCCCTAGCCCTAAAGCCTACACCGCCTACGCCCTCAATGCTAACTCGTGCAAACTACACCCTACAAAACGGCCGAGGAATTGAATTGCAAAGCAAGGCACCTTGACACGAACTCACACTTAGTAGCAGTTTCGCTTCCAGTTTTGTGAAAGGGCAGAGAGAGAGAGAGAGAGAGAGAGAGATAGAGAGACATAGACAGAGACAGAGAGAGAGACAAACACAAAAACAAAAAACAAAACTCCAACATAAGATGAGTATACTGTACTGTATGCACAAAGATCAAACATATTTCACCAAAACGAAACTGCACCCAACACCCCAAACTCCGAAGCCTAAACCCAACTCCCCAAATCCTGAGAACCAGACCTCCAAAAGCCTAACCCCTAGGGGTCCATCTGCCCAAATAGTATATGCTCTGGTCTTAAAGTGGCTCCCCTTTTCAGCAGTTTGGTGCCAAGGTAGTATATACTAAATCCTAAACCCTGAACCCTAAAAACCCTAAACCCTAAACTGTGGGCACATGGACCCTAGGGAAGCGGTACACAATGACAGGCCGTGGACGGGAGCGCCCAGTGGCAGGGCTCCTCAGATGCAGGGGGTTCCAGGGTGACCCATGAAAGCTACTAACAACTACTACAAGACGTATAAGGGTTACTAGAGTCATTATTTGTATAATTATAGGGTAAACATAAGATTTAGGGCCCCCCCGCCACCCGAGACCTGTTTAGGGATTTTGAGGTTTCAGGGCGTAGGGCTCACGGGTTTTGAGGTTCGTTTGGCTCTGATTTTGCTCTTGGCTTCTCGGTGGTCTTGCACTGTGCTGATCTAGATTCTCTAATGAGGTGATTTAGTTTTTGTGTAGTTGTTTAAGCTCTTTTTCCTGCGGCCTGCGCTGTCTGGACTCCGATTGGCTTAGGGTGTAGGTCATCATAAAATACCCTCTCCTGTCATCACCATGACTATTCTGATCATCCATGTCATGATCTTCTCACTGCGAGGCTAGTGCTTCGGGCTATGTATATGGATGTGCACTGAGGAAACTTGGATTGGCGGAACAGGACAAAGCAGGGGAAGGACAGCACTGACTACGGGAATCGAAGTTTGTTGCATCGCCAGCGTTTTTTCATATCTAGAACATACCAAGGCTGCGGAACCTTGAATCGGAGGGTCTTAGAGTCTTACACTGGCAACCTTAATCTTCACACACAACCGAAATTTTCGAGCCTGAACTCTGACTTGTAGGCTTTTGTGCTTGTGCTGTTGGCATGTTGGTGGCAGAATGAGGGATACATTGTTGCAGAAGCTTGGCAGTGACTTCTGGTCGGAAACGCTGGAGTGCATCTGGACCCTTCAGGGGTTTAGGGTAGAGGGTTTAGGGTTTAGGGTTTAGGGTTATTCCGAAGGCAAGGCATAAGGTTAACCCCCGTGCTTCAAACGTGATTCGAGTCCTTGTGCAGTGCACTGTCCCGTGGTGCTGTTCATCGGTCCTGCTTCTCCCGGGTCTTCTTGCAGTGGAAACTCTTAGTCTTAGTGAGTCAGCCAGTGATCTGAAACCCGACTTCAAAAGAACACCTGTGCCCGAACCCTTTCAGTCAGGAAATC